CGGCGGCACTACTAGTGGTGAACGATTCGAGTGACCCGAGTCTGACGGGTAGGCCATCGTTGGTGTCGTCCAACTTCACCACAGGTGTAGAGCAGGCGAGTAAACTGGGCATTGGTTTGTGCACAACAATTGTCACCCATTATCACAACTACCAAATCGTTCACTTCAATCGCGACAAACTCATTGTCGCACTCGTGGCCAACACTCACACCAATACCGGCCAATTGCTGGCCCTCGAGACCGAGTTTGACCTTATCTGTAATGAACTCCGACAGTGTGTCGACACTAATTGATCCGACGGTCCATTAATGTTATCTCTATTTATACTAATATTACTCTTTGAAAAATAGATATTTATTCGCTTTAAAATCAAACCAATTAATCATTATTTCAATTGTTTTTAACTCCTTCTCTAACCTCTAGTCCTCTTATGATAATTAGTGGTAGAGTTGGAGATAATTTTGTTGATAACAAAATATATTCAAATTATTTTATTTTCAAGTTTTATTATTAATACCGATATCAGAGACAGAGACTGACTTTCCAATCGATCCGACTTTTTATTAATTAAATTAAAAACATCTCTTATTAGAGGACACTTTGCATGCCTTTTGGTGTCTTTCACGAGTCAGTGGATCCCTTGTCTCTGTCTGTCATTCATTACAATTATTTTCTTGAGTCTCCATTTGTTTGATTCGTTTTAATCAATTGATGACAAATTATTTTCAAAACAGTTTTACTTTGAATTAATGTATTTATTTTAAGTCTATTTTTTGAATAATGTTTTAATAGATGTAATAATGAGATAATTGTTTTAATAATTGTATAAAAGTTAGTATTTTTTTAATTGAATTGTATTGAATGAATTATTATATTAATTATTGTATTTAATAGTAATAACAATAATAACTTAATAACTTAAACATAGATTTTGATATATATTGATTAAATTAAACACTCATTTTGTAATTTTTATTTCAATTTAATAAATAAAAAATATTTTCAAGTTTTAAACTAAATATTTGGTATAAAATATGTCTAAACTTTGTCCACAATTTCAATGATAACTAAATTTAGACGTTTTTTATGACATAATTTATGTGAGAATTCATGCCTTTTATTGCAAAACGTTATTCAAAACAAAAGTCAATTCAAGTGAAGACCACATCTGAAGAGCGGTTCAATTGAGTCATATATTAGCCATCAATTGATCCCAAAATGGCTGACGACGAGTACGAACCCGAAGAGTAAGTGTTGAGACAATTGGTGAAGAGGTTGTAGTGATGTTGTGATTGATTGTCTACAGTATGGGTCAGGACTACGACGACCCCATCGATGATGACGACAATATGGAGGCAATGGATCAGATGGACGACGAGAACGTGGATGTGTTGGCCGCCACTCAACACACACCGCAAGTGAACGCCAAAC